TGGACGTCTTTTAAACTGATTATGTCTTTAAATGATTGATGAGTACCCAGGCAAACCAACAAGAGATCACTAAGAATAGGCCCATTTGAACTAACCTTATTTCTTTTTTAGAAAAGAGATTGAAAATGTCTGGATTTGAACAACTAACGGGTCTGCCATGATTTGGGTGTAGACAAGACAGAGAAATACGAGCAGGATGGTACTGAGTTGGTAGATTTATAAATGACTCACCAACTTTATCCAAATGGTTAAGATCAGCACGGGAGGTGGTAATCCTAACTCTGACTTTTCCTGGACCAGACAAGACTGGGTCCTAGGGTTAGAAAGCCTTGGGTTTGAATTTTGGCTTCATCATTTACTACCGGTGTGCTTCTGTGCAAATTACTTATCGTCTCTAAACTTCAGTTTCCTTAAAGTGATGATAATAATAATACCTACCTCTTTGGGGTGTTGTGATAGTTAAATGCTATGATATATGCACAGTGCTTAAATATAATAATGGGCACACTATTGTCTGGAATGATGTTAGGTATCATGAACACTATTATTAATAACATGGAAGTAGCTCTCTGATGACCTGTCCAGTACCTTTTTAATGGATGTCTTGGATGAAGATAATGAAGGCATACTTATCAAATTCCAAATTTTACACATGCAGCTGTAAATTTATTCAAGCATCATCCTACATTTTTGTGATTCATATTTTGCTCCTAGGATTGGATTTTACATTTATTCCTATTTAACTTTATTTTTTTGTCAGTATTATCCAATTCTTTCTCCTTTTTTAGAGTCTGCCCTCTAATATGTTAGTTCTCCTTGAGAACCACAAGGAGATGTCTGGATTTAGTAACATGATAGATGATGGTTTTATTTATAGAGATTAGGAAGACTAAGGAAATTCGAAGTGAGGAGGGCATGTGGAGAAATAAGAATTTTGTTTTGGGCACGTTAACTTTGAGATTCCTAAGAGACACCTACATGGGGTTGTCAAGGAAGCAAACGAGATCTTCTGGTCTGGAGCTCAGAGGAGAGCTATGATTTGGAGACACTACTTTGAATGAGAGTTGACAGCATGTAGATGATATTTACAGCTATGGATTTTGAAATCATATATAAGAGAGTGTTGTTTGACAAGAGTATCAAGAACCAAGTCCTGAAGAACTCAAACATTTAAAGACCAGACAGAGATGGAAGAACCAATAAAAGAGGCAAAGAAAAGGATTGATGGTGGGGTAGAAGAAAAACCAGGGAAGTATGGTGTTTTGGAAAATCAGTGTGGAAAGTATTTCATGAAGGAAGATTGACCAACTGTGAGAAGTCATATAAGAATACTGTTTTCAACATTTGACACTTACATATGATAAAAGTTAACCAGAGTTTAAAAAGCAAGTAGAAGATGGAGAGATGTATTTGCAAATTATATGACAAAGGCTTAATAGTCAGAATATAGTAAAGAACACCCAGAAATTAATAAGAAAAATACAACAAAGTTGATATAAAAAAGACTGAATATATGAAGAATGAATACAGTCAATAACTAATCTCCCAAATTATCTGGGAAATGCAAATTACGTAAAAGTATTTTTTCAAATTAGCAAAATAATAAAAGATTGATGATATTCATTGTTGCTGAGAGTAAGGAGTAGAGGATACTCTCACACTCAACCGAGGAGAATGCAAATTGCTATGGTGTTGTAGAAGGTCAATTTTATGGTATACATCAAAATTTTAAATGAACATAAATGTCAATACAGCATTTCACTTATGGTAGCTATCTGAAAAAAAAATACTGACACATACATAAAGAAATGTGTGCAAGAACATTAAAAACAGTACAATTTGTAATAGCAAAAAATGAGAAACACCTACATGCCCACTAATGGGAAATAATTAAATAAAGTTCAACATGTATTTTTAGTACAGAAGACTGTGGGGAAGTTAAAAAAAAAAAAAGAGTTAGATCTGTATGTACTGAAGTGGAATGATTTCCAAGATGTACTGTTAAAAGATAAAATCAAGGTGCAGAAAAATACATATGAATGCTTCCACTTATATAAAATAAAGGCAAAAAAATCTATGATTTTGTATATTTTTATAAATGCTTGTAAATGTATCGAAAAGGTCACCTGACTAATGTTAATTGTTGTCTCTGGGGATAGGGATAGGATTACAGGATAAAGGCTGATTTTACTTTTCATTACTTAGTTTTATATTTCTTAAACTCACCTGAATTTATTAATGCCCTACTTGCGTGATTTTTCAGGAAAACTGCAAATTTTTCTTAAGTCGAGTTAAGTCATAACATAACTGATCTGGAAAATTAATTTTAGGATTCATTAATTAAATTATAAAATAGTTAAGTTCTTACTATATATCAAGTATGTTGTATTTGGTACACAGCAGTGAATGAAACAGGTAAGATCCCTGTTCTTGTAAGACTTATCCTCTAGTGGATTCAGGTTTCAAATAGTCTTCTCTCTGTAATGATTGATCCTTACTTTTAAAAGATTCTCCATCCCCACAGAAAAAAATACCTAAGACCATCTTCCTGCATTTTCATGACCCTGTGAAGAAATGTAAGGAATATAACACGGAAAAGACATCCGTAGCCATCTCCAAACTGCTGTCTCATTGGTTTACGATTGCACTGAGGATTTCCAAAAGCAATAGGGATAAAATAGTATACAGCATGAGTAAAGAAAAATTTCTTGAGTTGCCCAAGAAATCCCCAAACCCTTTCTATGACTGTTTCTATGGGGAAAGGCCACCAAGTTCTAACCAGCTCACTTAACAAATGCACTGGTGGAGCATACGCTGTTTGTTAAGTTGTCGACAGCCTGTACTTAGGCAACTGCTAGCTTAAATAGCTAAAAACTATCTGGCACCCACATAGAAGTTCTCATACACACACTTTACTTTATGGTTGGATTCCTTTTATGACACTCACTAAGGCATAATAATTAAGAGAGAATGTCAGCCTATAGGAGCATCCTTTGAGGCCCTTCCAACAGCAGGAATCTCGACACCATTCTAGGCTTTAGCTACTAGTCTGTTCACACTGGTAAGCAGAAAATTAAACTCATGCTTCTGAGCAGTCTCTGAGCCATACATAGCATTTGTATTTCATAGCAATTCCTGTTTTCTCTTCTTTTCTTACACACATAAATGAAAATTCTCCCAATTTTCAGCTGCAAGAACAGCTGAATACTGTCATCATCAGAAAAATTAAAAGCTTGTCTCAATGAGGGAGCTGCTCTTTAGAAATCCCTGTGCATCCCAGGGCACAGAAAAGAAAAAATATCGTTAACAATTCCTCTTTGCTACAGGATGAATATACTTATCTCACAAGGCTCTTCACAGCTGAGAATAACTCTAGTCCAGGGTAGTCAGAAAATTCTCAGGGTTTGGAAAGAGGCATTATGATTAGTCTCTCAGCATTCATTTCTAAAGTCACTCCCACCTCCATCAAACCTATGCAACCTTGGGTAAGTCCATCACTCTTTCGTATTTCCATTTCTTTCCTTATGCTGCTCTCCCTGCCGATAATGGCTTTCCTGATATCCCCTCCATGTCTCAAATTCTTATAAAATGCTCTTATGTGATTCCCCTAAGACAAATCATCTTTTTTCCTGCTCATAATCCCATTCTAGATTCCCATACCTCTGTTATGTCATTTGTTATATTGTATTACTATTGGGTATTTATTGTTCTATTTTTATTTGTTTATCATGTCATTTTATGACCATCTTAGGCTATCAGGCCAGATGTTATTACTACCAATGCTCCTAATACTAATAATTTTATTAATAGTATTATGAGTACTTACTACGTGTCAGGCCCTAATATAAATACATTATCTCTAATTGTCAGAAAAATCCTACTAGACGGACATTATTGTTATTGCCAATTTTTACCATTGAGGAAAGTGAAACCAAGAGAGATTATGGAGATTATACTGATGGTTAGTAGGGTCAATGAGAGTCAAAATAAAATCTACTTTACTTTAAAGCCTTTTTTAAAATTGTGCTTTAGGTGAAAATTTACAGCTAGTTTCTCATACAAAAATTTATACACACATTATTATGTGACCCTAGTTGCTCTACCTATATTGTGACAGCACACTCCTCCTTTCCACTCCAGATTTCCCATGTCCCTTCAACCAGCTCCTATACCTTTCTGCCTTCTTATCCCACCTCCAGACAGGAGCTGTCCAATTAGTATCATGTATCTACTTGAACTAAGAAGCACTCTCTTCACAAGTATCATTTTATGTCTTATAGTCCAGTCTAATCTTTGTCAGAAGAGTTGGCTTCAGGAATGGTGTTAGTTCCAGGTTAACAGAGTCCGGGGGCCTTGTCTGCTGGGGTTCCTCCAGTCTCAGGAAGACCATTAAGTCTGGTCTTTTTACTAGAATTTGAGCTCTGCACCCCTCTTTTCTCCTGCTCCGTCAGGGACTCTCTGTTGTGTTCCCTGTCAAGGCAGTCATTGATGGTAGCCGGGCATCATCTAGTTCTGGTCTCAGGCTGATGGAGTCTCTGGTTTATGTGGCCCCTAAAAGCCCATATTTTAACCACTACTCTAAAAGATGGTTTTTCAATAATAGTAGATAACATTTACTAAGTGCTTACTAGATGTCAGAGTCTATACTATGTGCTCTACATACATTAGTTAATTTGATCCTCACAAAAGCTCTGTGGTATACATGTAGTGGTTACGATCTTAATTTAAAAAAAAAATAATTAATTAAGGTTCCAAATGGTTAAGTGACTTGCTCAAAGTCACAGAACTATGGAGACTGGGTTTGAATGCAGATGGCCTCCCTCCAGAGCCTGAACTGTTCCTCACTAAACTAGTCTATGACCAGATGATAGAATCTCCTTTCATCTTTGCAAACACTGCATAGGTTTTCAGAAATGACCCCTCTAGGAACACAAAACTGGAGAATTACCCCTTCTGAGCAATGCAAATTGAGAAAATTCACCAACCCCCTAAGCACTCACCTTAGCACATGTGTGGATCCATTAATGGTTGTGGTAGAACAGGGGGCAGTCTGGCCCAGAATGGAAGGTCTTCGGTAGCGTTCATCATCACAGCAGAGGATGATGAGGAAGGCACGTCTAAAAGACTTATTCAAGAAGGCGTAGAGAAAGGGGTTCAACCCAGAGTTGATATAGCCGAGCCAGAGGAAAGCAGTCCATACCTGCCCAGGGACAGTGTAGTCTATGAAAGGATCCACAATATTGGTGACAAAGAATGGAGCCCAGCAAAGGCAGAAGCAACCCATGATGATGCACAAGGTCTTGGCCGCTTTGGTCTCTGTCCTCATGCGATGTGTGCTGTGCTGGTCTGCTAGCTGGGGTCTGCCCTCTGAGGGGGCTCCTGCTCGTTGCAACATCTGGATCTGGTGGGCATGCTCCTTAGCTGTGACATAGATGCGATAATAGGCCAGCACCATGAGGAAGAACGGGATGTAGAAGGCCACCACAGAGCAGGTGATGGCGTAGGGCTTGTTGACCATGAAGATACAGTACGTAGCGTTAGAGTTCTGGTTGAACTTTCTTTTTTCTATCTGAGAATTGGAAGGAGAGAAAAAGAGAGGGAGGAAGGGAAGGAGGAAGTGAAGAGGAGGAAACAGGTGGAGAATGAGTTAAAAAAAAGAATGAAAAAGAAGAGGAAGGATTATGAAATAGGAAGAAGGGGAAAGGAACGAACAAGAAAGGAAGGGAAAGGAAGAGTAAAAGAAAAAGAGCAAAGGAAAAGGAAAGAAAGAAGAAAGTTTATCACCACAGCTTTGTTTGAGTTTTATAAACCTACAACATATAGAACCTTGATGGTAGAAAGAGATATATGATCACATCTCAGGGTGCAGCGGCTTTGTCTGTAAAAGAGGGGTGAAAACTCCAGGGAAGAGCAGAAGCAAAATGGGTACAAAATCATTCCTCATTCCACCTACCCAACCGGTAGTAGAGGTTTGTCTCTCTTTTCCCTCTCCTGTCTGCTTGCACATAGTATACAAGTGTCTCTTAACAGGGTATCTATAGACTAGTAACATCAGAATCATCGGGGATGCTTATTATAAGTGCAGATTCCTATCACCCCCACCCCCACCCACAAACCTACTCGCCCAAACTTCTGGGGGAGTGGGGCTGAGATATCTTCATTTTTAACAAGTTCTTTCTTTAAAAAACAAAAAAAATTCTGAAGCTAATTAACATCTGAGAACCATTGCATCTGCTAGTCTAAACCTAGTTTTTTGGGGGATATCATGGGGCACTTCCCTGCTTACTCCGTGCTCTACTAAAGGCTGTTCTCATTTTGGTAGCACAGTATTCAAAGTCTCAGTATAGAACGATAGCCAAGAGGGGCCTTAAAGTTAGGGAGAAAGAAAGGGTAGATTATTTTGGAATCACAGGAGAAAAGATTATACAGATTGGGCACAGCAAGATCATGAAGGGCCTTAGAATACAACCAGAAGAGTCGGGACCTAGGTAATACTTGCTGCCCCAACTAACTCTCCTGAACTCCCTCTTTGTAGGTGTTCATCCCAATCACTCCACTGAAACTGCTCAGATCAAAATATCAATGACCTCCATGTTGCAAAATCCAGCCCTGATTTTAAATGATCTATCTACGCTTTTTGACACGCTTCTTCCAGTAAATATTTTATTGAAATAAAATACATATAAAGCACATACATAGTAAACATACACACAGATGAAGTAATTATTACAAAATAAATACACCTGTGTAATCATTTCTCAAATCATGCTATAGAATATTACCAGCATTCCAGAAAACTCACAAATGCCCTCTCCCAGTCATCATTATACCCAAAGGTAGCCACTGACCTGTGTCACCATAGGTTAATTTTGTTTTCCAACTTAATATCTATGGAATAATAAAGCACATACTCTTTATATCTTCTTTCATTCAGTCTGTATCTGTGAGGTTCGTTTGTATTATTGCATATACCAGTAATTTGTTCAATTGTGGTATTAGGGATTAAACTACAATTATCCATTCCACTATTGATGGGCATTTGAGTTTTTTTTTCACTTTTTAGCTATTTTGAATACAACTATTATGAATATTCTTGTAAAAGTTTGTGTGTGTGTGTCTGTGTGTACATATATTTTTATTTCTCTTGGGCATATACTTAGGAGTGAAATTGCTGTGTCATAGGGGAAGCACATACTCAGGAGTCCCTGGGTGGTGCAAACAGTTGACATGCTCATCTGCGAAATGAAAGGGTAGAGGTTCAAGTCCACTCAGAAGTGCCTCAAAATAAAGGCCTGCCATTGAAGGAGCACAGTTCTATTCTGATACAAATGAGGTCACCATGAGCTGGAATCTATTCAATGACAACTGGCAAATACCGCCAAACCATTTTTCAAAGTGATTGTATCAATTTACATTCCCACAACCAGGGTATGAGAGTTCCAGTTACTCCAAATCCTCACTAACACTCAGTACCGTCAGCGTGTTGTGGTTCCTCATTGTGGATTTGTTTGTTTGTTTAATGAAATTGTAAAGTTAACTTGATTACATCATTAAAACACTCCATGTGTCCTTGACTTCCTTTCCAGTGGATTTAGATTAGACTTGTCTTGTGTTCTAAACTTTGTTACTGGAGTGTGTCCTGGCTGATATCATTCCTTTCTGAATGTTTGTCAGACTGAGCTTCTGCTTCTGTTTTATGATTAGCACTCTTGTTTCCTCCATGCCATAAGAACATTGTCTTCAAAATGATGAAATATTGTCCAGTTCTTGTCAGCCCCAATTGCTTTTTCTGTATCCTCAGTTTCAATCCAACTAGGCCATCTCAGTCTATTAGTATGTTCTGCTCTCTACAACTCTGTTTCCATAATCCTCATGATCTACCTACCTGATTGGAATCTTGAATCAAATCAAACAATGTGTGTGTTGGGCGGGGGGGTGTGGTGGTGGTGGAAATATATATATAGTAACTGGTAAATACTGCCAAAGAGTTTTCCAAAGTGATTTTATCTATCTATCTATATCTATATATATATATCTATATATATATATAAAATCTTGATGTTATATTATTAGTTGTGCACATACTTAGTATCATGTCTTATAATATAGTAATATTCTTATTGAATTGGTATTTTATAAAATATCTCTGTATATCAAGTAATATTACTTGCTTTAAATCCAACTTCATCTTTAACATTAGTAGGGTTATACCACCTTTCTTTGGATTAGTGTTTACATTGTAAATCTTTTTTCATTATTTTATTTTCAATCTTTCTGTCTCCTGTATAAGGGGCCTCTCTCAAGGGCAGCATATATTTGCATTTTGTTTTTATTAAGACTGACAACCTTTGTCTTTTAGTGTCTTTTTGTTGAAAAATTTAATCATTAAATATTTCATGTAATCACTGATTGATTTAGATTTGTCTACTATATTGCTATCTTATCTGTTTTCTATTTATTTCCTGATCTTTGCTCCATTTTCTTCCTCCCTTACTGTTTTTTTTTGGAATTATCAATTATTTAGTATTACCACGTTATTTCTCCCTCTGTTAGCTCATTAGCTATGCATTCTTTTATTATTCTTTATTTCAGAGATAACTTATTACAGTGTATTTTATATTAATAAGTTTACCATTTCTTGGGTAATGTAAGGATATTAAAAAATTTAGCTCCAATTACCCACTCCTGCCTTTTATGCCGTTGTTTTTATGTATTTTAATTCTACATATATTTTAAAACACTCGAGACATTATTATTGTTGTTGTTTTAAATGTTGCTGCTGTTAGGTGCCATCAAGTCAGTTCTGACTCATAGCGACCCTATGTACAACAGAATGAAACACTCCCAGGTCCTGCACCATCTCACAATCGTTGTTATGTTCGAGGCCATTGTTGCAGCCACTGTCAATCCATCTCGTTGAAGGTCTTCCTCTTTTTCGATGACTCTCTACTTTACAAAGCATGATGTCCTTCTCCAGGCACTGATCCATCCTGATAACTTGAACAAAGTATGTGAGATGAATTCTCACCATCCTGCCTTCTAAGGAGCATTCTGGCTGTACTTCCTGACAGATTTGTTCCTTCTTCTGGGAGTCCACGGTATATTCAATATTCTTCGCAACACCATAGTTCAAAGACATCAATTCTTCTTCAGTCTTCCTTATTCATTGTCCAGCTTTCGCATGCATATGAGGCAACTGAAAATACCATAGCTTGGGTCAGGTACGCCTTAGTCCTCAAAGTGACATCTTTGTTTTTTAACATTTGGAAGGGGTGTTTTAAAGCAGACTTGCCCAACTCAATATGTTGTTTGGTTTCTTGACTGCTGCTTCCATGGGTGTTGATTGTGGATCCAAATAAAAAGAAATCCTTGACAACTTCAGTGTTGTCTCTGTTTATCATGATGTTGCTTATCGGTCTAGTTGTGAGGATTTTTGTTTTCTTTATGTTGAGGTGTAATCCTTACTGAAGGCTGTAGTCTTTGATCTTCATCAGTAAATGCTTCAAGTCCTCTTCACTTTCAGTAAGCAAGGTTGTGTCAACTGCATATTGCAGGTTGATAATGAGTCTTCCTCCAATCCTAATGCCCTGTTCTTCTTCGTATAGTCCAGCTTCTTGGAATATTTGCTCAGCATACAGATTAAATAAGTATGGTGAAAGGATACAACCCTGACGCACATCTTTTCTGATTTTAAACCATGCAGTATTCCCTTGTTCTGTTCAAATGACTGCCTCTTGGTCTTTGTACAAGTTCCTTAAGAGCACAATTAAGTGTTCTGGAATTCCCTTTCTTTGTAATGTTATCCATAATTTGTTATGATCCACACAGTTGAATGTCTTTGCATAGTCAATAAAACACAGGTAAACATCTTTCTGGTATTTCTGCTTTCAGTCAAGTTCCGTCAGTAATGATATCCCTCATTCCATGTCGTCTTCTGAATCTGGCTTGAATTTCTGGTAGTTCCCTGTTGATGTACTACTACAACCATTTTTGAGTTATCTTCAGCAAAATTTTACTTGCACGTGGTATTAAAGATGTTGTTCGATAATTTCCGCATTCTGTTGGATCACCTTTCTTTGGAATGGGAACATATATCTCTTCCAGTCAGTTGACCAGGTAGCTGTCTCCCAAATTTCTTGGCATAGATGAGTGAGCACCTCCAGCACTGCATCCGTTTGTTGAAACATCTCAGTTAGTATTCCGTTAGTTCCTAAAGGCTTGTTTTTTGCCAGTGCCTTCAATGCAGCTAGGAATTCTTCCTTCAGTACCATTGGTTCTTGATCATATGCTACCTTCTGAAATGGTTGAACGTTGACCAATTCTTTTTTTGTACAGAGACTCTGTATATTCCTTCTAGCTGCTTTTTTTAAATTGTAGTTTAAGTGAAAGTTTATATTTCAAGTTAGTCTCTCATACAAAAATTTATACATACATTGTTATGTGACCCTAATTGCTCTCCCTGTACTGTGACAGCATACTCCTCCTTTCCACCCCTGATTTCCCACGTCCATGCAACCAGCTCCTAACCCTCTCTGCCTTCTTATCTCACCTCTGGACAGAAGCTGCCCA